ACAGTGAAGGCAGTCATCATCAATTGAAGAAAAACACAAGAAAAAAACTGGTCTGGGAGGTTGCCAAGAGGCCTACAGCAACATTAAAGGAGCTACAGGAATATCTGGCAAGTACTGGCTGTGTGGTACATGTGACAACAATCTCCTGTATTTATCATATGTCTGGGCTATGGGGTAGAGTGGCAAGACAGAAGCCTTTTCTTGCAAATAAAAAGCCCAGCTAAATTTTGCAAAAACACATCTGAAGTCTCCCAAAAGCATGTGGGAAAATGTGTTGTGCTCTGATGAAACCAAGGTTGAACCTTTTGGCCATAATTCCACAAAATAAGTTTGGCGCAAAAACAACACTGCACATCACCAAAAGAACACCAGACCCACAGTGGTGGTGGCAGTATCATGCTTTGGGGCTGTTTTTCTTCAGCTGGAACTGGGGCCTTAGTCAAGGTAGAGGGAATTATGAACGGTTCCAAATACCAGTCAATATTGGTACAAAACCTTCAGGCTTCTGCTAGAAATCTGAACATGAAGACGAACTTCATCTTTCAGCATGACAACGACCCAAAAGCATACATCCAAATCAACAAAGGAATGGCTTCATCAGAAGATGATTAACATTTTGGAATGGCCCAGCCAGAGCCCAGACCTGAATCCGATTGAAATTCTGTGGGGTGATCTGAAGAAATCTGACAGATTTGGAGTGTTTTTGTAAGGAAGAGTGGACAAAAAGTGCCAAATCAAGATGTGCCATGCTGATAGACTCATACCCAAAAAGACTGAGTGCTGTAATCAAATGGAGTGTTAGGTTGTGCTGAAGGGTCTATTGATGCTAGCTGCTGGGGGATCTATTGTGACTGTTAAGATCTATTGTTGCTGGGGAGGTCTATTGCTGTTGGGGGAATCTTATGTTTCTAGGAGCCCAATTGTTGCTGGGAGAGATCTACTGTTGCTGACTGCTGGAGAGTCTATTGATTCTGGCTGTTGGGGGATTTTACTGGATTGTTGATGGCAGGGGGTCTATTTTGTTGTGGGGGATCTTATACTGCTAGGGTGTCTATTGTTGCTGGGGGATCTCTTGTTGCTTGGGGGTCTATTGTTGCTTGTGGGTGAATCTATTGTTTCTTGGGGGATTATTGTTGCCGGGGGTGTGGCAGTTGTGCGCATGGACACATGGACCTGACAACCATTTTGTTAAGGTCTCCCATCTTGTGTCCTGGTCTGCAGATGTCATTCTCACTCTGTCCAGTCCCCCCTCCCCTTTGAATGGAATGTGGTCTGTGTGTGTGCACTGGGGTCACAAGTGCATAAGGCACAGCTGGATAACCTTCATGGTTGTAACCCCAATTAAGCCTGGTGCCAGAGGGTCTGACAAACACTTTCATCTGCCCGGTCGTAAAACTATAACTCAGTCGGTCACTTGACATGTAAGCATTACCTCAGAGTGGCCATAAAACGTACATCCCACATGAGTCACTTTTCATACAAATTCATAACTTCAGCAGGAATTAGGGCACATTGATATAAAACATATATTCTGATAGGTCATTTTAATAAGAGTCACCTGACACCTTACACCCCTAGGTAGCGTCTACAAGAGAGTAGAAAGCAATATATTTTTATCCGAAGTGGCAGGATATGCCATATTTGATATCTGGACATTCGGAATATGATTCTGCATATTAATCTGCCAGTGGCTAGGATGCTACATGTACCTATTGAAGGTTATTGACAGTTGTCACAGTGCGCCAGGCTTGCTCCTCTCCCTCATTGCAGCTTCCCCCACCTCTCCCCCCCTCTCATCCTGTCACGACTCTCTTTGAAGCTGAGCCACCCAGGATGAGAGGTGGGACTCGTCACCCTCCATCCCCTATCCCTCCCAGCTGGAGGGGGAGAGATAGTCTCCCGCTGGGAAGTTCACACCTCCCCGGCCACGACCAGGGAAGGGGCGGGCCCCCCATCGAGATGTCCGGTCCGCGGCAGTCAACCTGACGCCGCACGGCCCCGACAAGTACAGCGCGGGCACAAGAGCTTCTCGCGCTCTGCACCCACCAGTGACAAAGGCCGCACTCACGAGAGCGCGGCCCAAGTCAAGGGGTGTGCCTCGTTGCCCCGGCAACGCAGCGCTGGGCCGGCTGTTGCCGGGGCAATGGGAGCGGGCTCATGGGGACTCAACGGGACCTTGGCGATGGGGTCTGACCACAGCACAACCCCCACACAGCTTTCTAGGGACAACATCGGCTCACGGGGACTAAGCAGGACTTTGGCTGTGAAGTCTGATTTCAACACAGCTCCTACACAGCATACTAGGGACAACATCAGGCTCACGGGGACTCAACGGGACCTGGGCTGTGGAGTCTGGCCTCAACACAGCTACCACACAGCATACTAGGGACAACATCAGGCGCACGGGGACTCAGCAGGACCTTGACTAGGGGAGCTGACCTCAGCACAGCTCCCACCCAGCTTTCTAGGGACATCAGGTTCACGGGGACTCAGCAGGTAGCGATGGCTCAAGCACTTAGGGGCATCCCAGGTAGCAGTACTCCGGGCACGCCATGGGGCAGTTCAAGTAAGGGTAGTCTGGGCATGCAATAGGGGCAGCTCATGACACGGGTGGTCTGGGCGCACAATAGGGACAGTTCATGACACAGGTGGTCTGAGCGCACACTAGGGACAGTTCATGGCACGGGTGGTCTGAGCGCACACTAGGGACAGTTCAGGACAAGGGTGGTCTGTGCGCACAATAGGGACAGTTCATGACAAGGGTGGTCTGGGCACACAATAGGGGCAGTTCATGGCTTCTAGGAACACTCACGATAGGCGTCTTGCAGTTGCTCAGCAGCAGGCGGTTTCCAGGGGGGTAGGTGACTTGTGGACGCTCAGCAGCAGGCGGCTTCCAGGGAGGTAGACGACTTGCGGACACTCAGCAGCGGCAACTTCCAGGGACAAAGCGGTCAGCAGACAGGGCGGCTTCCCAGGGACCCAGCAATCAGCAGAAAGGGCGGCTTCCCAGAGCCCCAGTGATCGGCAGACAGGACCTGCTTCCCAGGGGCCCAGCAATCAGCAGACAGGGCAGCTTCACAGGGGCCCAGCAATCAGCAGACAGGGCAGCTTCCCAGGGCCCCAGCGATCAGCAGACAGGGCAGCTTCCCAGGGCCCCAGCGATCAGCAGACAGGATGGCTTCCCAGGGGCCCAACGATCAGCAGACAGGGCAGCTTCCCAGGGGCCCAGCAATCAGCAGACAGGGGCAGCTTCCCAGGGACCCAGCGATCAGCCGATAGGGGCACAGCGGGCTTCAGCAGATAGGGACACAGCAGGCTTGCAGGAGCTCAGCAGGGTCTTGGCTGTGCGGGGTCTGTGCCTGGGATGGTTCTGACCTTTGGGGGAGTCTCGTGCAGAGTGCTCAGTGGGGATGGCTGCAGAGGCCCGGTCTCCACCCGGACCTCCCACGATAGCGGTGGCGGCGGGCCGAGAGAGAGCGGCCGGACAGCGCAGGAGGAAGAGACCGGCCGGCTCCCCGCGCCGGCCTTTTAAACTGCCCAAAACGCTTCCGGGTTGCCCCGGCAACGGCCGGCCCAGCGCCGCATTGCCAGGGCAATGAGCCATGCCCCCTTGACTTGGGCCGTGCTCTGGTGAGTGCGGCCTTTGCAACTGGTGGGCGCAGAGCGCGAGAAGCTCTTGTGCCCGCGCTGTACTCGTCGGGGCCGTGTAGCGTCAGGTTGGTGGGGGGGCCCCACCCCTTCCCTGGCCAGGGAGGTGTGAACTTCCCAGTGGGAGACTCTCTCTCCCCCTCCAGCTGGGAGGGATAGGGGACGGAGGGTGACGAGAGTCCCACCTCTCATCCTGGGTGGCTCAGCTTCAAAGAGTCGTGACAGGATGAGGGGGGGGGGAGGGTAGCTGCAGTAAAGGGAGAGGAGCAAGCCTGGCACACCGTGACAACCATGGTACAAACTTGTAAGGGATTTGGTCATGGCTTGGGTCCCTGCCTAACACCCATCATCACATGAGGCGATTGGCCCTTGGCTTCAGGAGACACGCCCTGTTGGGATACTAGAAAAAGGCTGACATGCCTGGAGAGAGTAAAAAGAGATTCCTCCTTTTAACATCAGGAACCATCTTTGGGAGACAGGCAACCTTTTTGTTCGGACGACTGGGCTCTGCTTAAACCAAGGACTTTTGCAAGTATCCTACCTTCTGAAACATCTTTTATTTCTCTGTTGTTTTATTGCTATTATATATATATATATATATATATATATATATATATATCCCTGTCTTTGGAGAGTGCTACTGTATGTATTAGCCCTCTGCATACATCTGTCTGCGGTAGCAGTGTGTATTACAGACGCTTATTCAAATATCATAGTGTTACTGCTAAGATCTGTGAGTTTCCTCCTCCTCTGTAAAAATGTGGTGTTGGCAGTGTGAAGGGTTAATTGCGTAATTAACCTGACCCAGCAACAATCGCTCTCAGGATGCTGACACGGATTGTGGTCCAGCGAGCTGGAAATCTTTGTGCACGGCGCAGCTGAGAGTGGCATTGTTACACAAGTGGCAGCGCGGTCTTAGATCGGCTGGTCCTTTGGTCACAAGTTGGTGAGAAGGGCTGGGGTCTGATGCCGTGCATCTTTCACAGGGGAGGATCTATTGTTACATTTGGTGGTCTATTGTTGCTGGGTGATCTACAGTTGCTTTGGGGGCTCTGTGGTTGCTTTGGGGGATCTGTGGTCGCTTGGGGAATATATTGTTGCTTTAGGGGATCTATTGTTGTTGGGGAGATCTGTTGTTGCTGGCTGCAAGGGAATCTGCTCAGAGGGGGGTGGAGACAAGGGGGGTTTTTCAAAGCAGGGAGTACCTGCCCCTATTCTCTGGATGGATATATATATGACACTGAGGCGACACCCTGCTATTGGCCATACACGGAAGTTCAGTATCAATGAAACGAATATGCCACGTGAGCCTCCCTCCATGATGTCTATGGACAACTCTCCACCCTCCCCACCTCCATCACTGAAGTCCCGGGTGATGTTCTTCTTCGGGCGGCTCAGAGGGATCTGGTCTATCCAGGCGTACAGCTCCTGCAGCTGATCTCCACTGATCTTCTCGCTCATCTTTCCTGAACACACGAGTTCCTCTCCTCTCCACTCTGCGTGTCTGTTTCCATGGAGACCGGAGACCGCTACTAGGCAACCTGCCGCTCAGGTCTACAATGTACGAGAATCAGAGAGGGACAATTCAAGGAGAAACGCGCTCAGTGCCTGCTGCTTCTATTGTATATATCACCATAGAGGAGACTGTGTCTGCACTGACCGAGGGACACTCCTGCTAGCTCTACTGCCTCATGACTGTCTAAGTCATTAATGAGGAAAACTGACACTGAAACCTTTTCTTGGTTCTGGATGCAGTCTGGAAAAGTTATAACCTTTGTCAGGGGTTTTTGGGGATCTATGTCCCATTGGGGGATTTCCCATATCCCATGACATGACATGTCCTGTTCCATGACCACAACAGGAAGTGAGAAGAAATCTCTCGAAAACTAGGTCAATCACCACTGGGCTTTTATTTTGCGCTGAATAAACATTTTTGAGAAAAAAAAAAGTTTTTCTTAGATTCTGTGTTATTTTGCAAATAAAGTTTTCTTGATAAATTTATGCCAAAATGTATCCTGCTGCATTTCTTTGGTAAAAATAACCCAAAGCTGTGTTTATTATTTAGTCTGTAGGAAAGTTATAGAGTCCACAAGCTATGGGATATATATCTGACAATCCATCAATCCTGATGTACTGACGGCCAATCTCAATTCCTGAGGCCCGAGAACATCAGGACAGTACAAATATCCCCCAAATGACCCCTTTTTGGAAAGTAGACAGTCCAAGGTACTTAGTAAGAGGCATGGCGAGTTTATTGAAGTTGTCAATTTTTTAACCACAATTCTTTTGTAAAATAATGAAAGTAAATGAAATGTGATGTTATTTCACAAAGATGTCATTTTAATAAGTTATTTTTCACATACAGCAAAGGCATACTTCCAATTATATCCAAAACACAATCTTCTACCCTCCCAAATATGGGGATACCACATGTGTTAGACTTTTTCCACTGGTGAGACGCATCAAGGGGCCTGTCACGGATCACCTCATACACCACGCCCACAGAAACTAGCTAACCGAGGCACGCACGTGCGGCCGTGACTTGGGTTTCAGAGGGAATAAGGGGGACTTAATCTGAATATATATACGTATATAAGACCGGCCGTGATATACTTTCACAGCCTGCGCTACCTCTGGCCACCACTAGAGGGAGACTCCAATCCAGCTGGCTGACCACACACACTGGCAGACACAAATCTTACATACAATATGGTGCACTAATTAGGGTTGAGGAGCATCCTAGCGATCGACACACCCTTCTAGGATTCCTCCAGCTATCCTACAAGCCAGAACTCCGGTGTTAACCACTCTTCCACTGTCCCACACACCCCCACACCAGACACACCACAAACGGTAGCTTGCCACCACCCAACAGTTTATCCACAGAATGGCCTGCTGGGACACCAGACACACAGATCTCTGTCTGGCAGACCTGTCACCCTTACAATCTGCACGCAATCTGCCAACACGCAGTGCAATTGCATACCGATTGGCAATGAACTTGACCGAGCATATAAAGACACTAAAATACAATACAATCTAATCTCTCCAGAGATATGAGCCCGAGCTTAAGTAACCAGAAGTCACTTATTAATTTTATGATTTAATATCCCAAAAGTGGGCAGTGCATAAAATATGTACAAAGTATAAAAAGTTACAGAAAATAAAAAAAATACAAGAAGACACACATTGACTATTCACTATAAAATAAAAGGGAATAAAAACAGAAATAAAACTTTTACCAAGATTTATCCTGCGACTGGAGCAAGTCAGAGAAAGTCCGCGATCCGTCAGTCAATTGGATGGGTTTTATACGAATCACAACGTCCATACCTCAAGTCCTCAATTTATGGGAATATGGACATAGGCTGGACATTAGTCCTTGGCCAATCAACCCTGGGGGGTGTTCCTGTATTAGCCCACAGGATGTTCTGGGTGCTGAAATACCCAAAGTTGATTGGACCAGGAACGGTTTGAATCACCAAGTCAGGGATTGAATTTCCGACACCAACGCATCAGTCCAATCGCAACAGTACCAATCACTGTTCCGCTGTTGCAATCCAGCGCCACATAACCATTTCCTGCATTTTTTTTGCCATTCTACCTAGGCCACAAATACAGTTTTTGTGGCCAAGTGCCCAATCAGAAGTATTTTCATCTCTCTGCAACTAATATTTCAGCTTTTATGAGAGATGAAATCTATTCCTTTGATCTGCTGATATACTTCAAAGCTCCCAGACACATCGGAGCCCCCTGGTGTCATGAAGCCAAAACATCTGCGTTCCTTTTTTAAACTTCAGGAAGGTGGCAAAGTCTGAATATAAATATATATAAATATATATATATATATATATATATGTATGTATATATAGACCAATCTTATTGGCACTTAGGTGTCGCTTCCAGCCTAGAAGCTGCTCCGTCTTTTCAGATGCTAATGGCTGAGCACGTCTCTGAATATCTATGACTGAATACATCTTTAATAACAAGGAATGAAACTAAATTTACAATTACATATTGCTGCAGATCACATCTCAGTCCAATCACTTGAATCCCACATGTACGTTACATCTGATCTCCGCTGATCTTCTCGCTCATCTTTCCTGAACACATGACTTCCTCTTCTCTCCGCTCTGCGTGTCTGTTTCCATGGAGACCGGAGACCGCTACTAGGCAATGTACAAGAAGCAGAGAGGGACAATTCAAGGAGAAACGCGCTCAGTGCCTGCCGGCATCTTCTATTGTATATATTACCATAGAGGAGGTTGTGTCTGCACTGACTGGGGGACACTCCTGCTGGTTCTACTGCCTCATCACTGTCTATCACTAATGAGGAAAACTAACACTGAAACCTTTTCTTGGTTCTGGATGCAGTCTGGAAAAGTTATAACCTCTGTCAGGGGTTTTGGGGATCTATGTCCCATTGGGGGATTTCCCGTCACTTCCTGTACCATGACCACAACAGGAAGGGAGAAGAAATCCCTCGGAAACAAGGGCAATCACCACTGGGCTTTTATTTTGCGCTAAATAAACAGTTTGAGAAAAAAAAGTTTTTCTTAGATTGTGTTTTTTTTTGCACATAAAGTTTTCTACATAAATTTAGGCCAAAATGTATCTTGCCTCATTTCTTTGGTAAAAATAACCCAAAGCTGTGTTTATTATTTAGTCTGTAGGAAAGTTATAGAGTCCACAAGCTATGGGATATATCTGACAATCCATCAATCCTGATGTACTTACGGCCAATCTCAATTCCTGAGGCCCGAGAACATCAGGACAGTACAAATATCCCCCAAATGACCCCTTTTTGGAAAGTAGACAGTCCAAGGTACTTATAAGAGGCATAGCGAGTTTAATTGAAGTTGTCATTTTTTAACCACAATTCTTTTGTAAAATAATGAAAGTAAATGAAATGTGATGTTATGTCACAAAGATGTCATTTTAATAAGTTATTTTTAACATACAGCAAAGGCATGCTTCCAATTATATCCAAAACACAATCTTCTACCCTCTCAAATATGGGGATACCACATGTTAGACACTTTCCACTGGTGAGACGCATCAAGGGGCCCAAAATGAAAGCAGCACCGTCAAGCTTTTAGACATCTAATTTCCTGACTACCTATCACATTTTTAGAGGCCCTGGAATGCCTGGACAGGGGAAAAACCTACAGAGTGACCACATTTTGGAGAGAGAGAACACTCCAATGTATTTTTTTAACAGGCATGGTGAGTCTTTTAAGATTTAATTTTTGCCACATAGCTTTTGGAAAATGTGAAAAGAAAATGAAATTTATTTTTTATACATAGCCATCAATGAATACGATATTTCTCACACACAGTATGACATACTTAGAACTACACCCCAAAACACATTCTGATACTTTTTTTTAGGGCTTTTTATCCAGTGGTAATGCAGTTCCAGGACCTCCAGCACTGAATATATGTAATGACAAGGGGTGGCGGGGTGTGCTGGAGGGTCTATTGATGCTGGCTGCTGGGGATCTATTGTTGTTGGGGATATTTTCTGATATGAGGGGGTCTATTGTTGCTGGAGAAGTGTATTGTTGCTAATGGGGGATCCTTATCTGGCTGGAGGGGTCTATTGATGCTGGCTGCTGAGAGGTCTATTGTTGCTGATGGGGTATATTGTTGTTGGGGTGGATCTATTGTTACTGGGGAAGAGTATTGTTGCTAATGGCGGATGTCTTATGTTGCTGAAAGGGTCTATTGATGCTGGCTGCTGAGAGATCTATTGTTGCTGGTGGATCAATTGTTGCTGGGGGGGGGAGCGGGTCTATTTTTGCTGGCTGCAGGGGATCTATTGTACTGCTTCTTCTGGTTATTATTTACAAAATCCTTACAAACCTTTTAGCACCACAAAATTATACTTGCTTCTGTATTCCCTAAGGGCCAGTTCAAACTGCGTGCATTTCAGTTGCTTTTTTTCTGCATCCAAAATGCACAGAAATATATGGTTGTCACTGTCATAGTTCACATCAGTGATTGCAGTTCCAGTGCGTTCCAGTTGCAGAAAAAAAAAAGCAGAACAAAGGTTTTCCTGCACATAACTGTACTGGAACATGGCAAAAACGCATCAAAAAAGCACCAGAATGCACTGGAACATGCCAAAATGCACATGTCCCTATTTAAACTGAACAAAAAGAGAGGGAGAAAAATGAACTGGAATGCCATAAAAAATGCACTGGATGTATCAAAAACGTACCGCAACTCGTCAAAAACGTGCATGCGGGAATGCATCCTAAACGCATCTGGACTGTGTTTCTATAGTGTGAACCAGCCCTAAAGGGGGCAATACTGGGAGGTGTGTAGGGGAGGAACCAAGGAATGGAGCGTGAAGGTGTGTAGGGGTGGAGACAAGGGGGTGTACCTGCACCTACTTTCTGACAATAAAATCCCTGCTCCCAAGTATGGAGATAAAAATGTGTGAGACTTTTTCAAAG